AAATATGACAAACACTAGGCTGTAGGCTATGTGGTATGAAAGTCCATTAACTCCTGCAAAGCGTTATAGAGTGATGTACGATTAACGTTACCCACTAGCGTGTTGTAAGGATGTAATTTGCTGACAACAGGAAGAAAGCAAGTAGCATTTCCACTCCTTTGGAGTGTGATTGAATCTAAATGCGTTACATTCAGCCTGTTTTTTAAGCTCAACATATTAAAACACGTCTTGGCGGAGATTAGAACTCACTCCGCGAAGGGAAAAAGATACAAGAAACCAACACATTAACCACTACAATAAAACCACCTCTTTACAAACTCCAGCACTGACGTATTGTACTGTAATGGGGTACACAGTCAGTTGAGTCACATACAAAGGTGGTTGGATCAACTTGTGACCACAACGTCTGTGCACTTAACCCTCTGCGGTTTTGTGTTGCCTATACGTAACATAGTACTCATTTTTTGCCCCGTTTACACTCACACAATATATCCTCAATTAGGATTTTAAACTTGCATGTTTTGAAATATATTCAATAAGTATAAATAATTTAGCCAAGTAAGTTTTATTCCACCTCATTTTTCCACAATTGGGTACTGTGTTGCTTCAATGTTTCAATGTAATGTAACCAAAAGTGCACCCCCTATAAATACATTGTTTGCAAATACCTCAAAATTTGTTTAAGTATTGCACACCAAAACTGCATAACATTAAGGTCCAATGTGGACCAACTTGTCCACTACCAAGAGCCAGAGGAGAGGATCCCAGTAAAGCTAAAAAAGCTAGCAGCTCTCCTCTGGCTCACCCCCTGCCACAACCACCATCCAACCCCTCCACGCCTGCACATGCCATCAGCTCCCCTGGACTCTTGCCAGCCACATGTCAAGGCACCAGTCATCCCATCCACAGTAATGGTATATCATATTGTGTAATGTCAGCTTAAGTTTAATCATGCTATATAGGCCTATTCTTTTAAATGAATGAGATGTTCTGAATTTCCTGTTGTCCAAGACATATGGCTTTCAGGTAAAGGGTAGGTCCTATGGTCCAAAATAGGGCCTTATAAACTCTTTACTGCGGATTTGCAGAGCCTAGCACCTGAGAGAGTTGGTGAGCGAGGTAATTGTGGATTGTACGCTGCTTCACACTTTTTGATCTTTGATATGCAAGCTAATTTGATCTTATGTTTCTGTTTTTATGTCTTTGTGTAGATCCTGAATAGCTATCTTCTGTGGGGAATGAGGAAGGTCCCAAATAAGAGGATATATGTCATTGATTCATTTGAAATGACAGCTATCTGGAATGGCACATCAAGGGGGAATGAGAAAGGTTAGGATGATGGTTACTCTCAAAGTTATTGGTTACTATATAGGCCACCATCTGTAAAAACTAAAATGATTACTTGCAGCTTGATGTGACCGAATGGGACATGTTAATAGGGGCCGTCTGCAAGGACAGACATTGGACTCTCGTAGTAAGTGCACTTTTAACAATACTAATCATTCAACTATCTTTACAACTCTAAGGATCATTTACATTAAAGTATGCTGTCTGTAATAGGCCATGTACCCAAAGGACAGACGGGCCCTATTTGTTGATCCCTTCGGAGCCACATAAAAACAACTGACACATTGTAGAGATGCAACAAGGTAACTTCAGGATTTATTGTCATGTGTTTCATATCTTGAATAAGAAATGGTTGCTGATTTGCCAGTGACAAAATTTACTAGATATTATGAATTATTGTCTTTTCTTTAGGGCTTTCATGCGTAAGAAAGACATGGGCCTAAACCTGTCCAGGTGGTCCTGTGAGACAGTTGTACATCCCCGTCAACAAGATTCCACATCCTGTGGAGTGCTGGTCTGCAAAGTAAGATTGTGTACCCTAGCGAGCATTGAATAATTCTTACAAAAACAACAATAACACTGCCCTGTATTGTAAGGTTGCAGAGTTGCTGCTTGAGGGCAGCAGCATTGATTTTAATGTCGACCAGGTCAGCATTGACATGATGCGGATGCAAATGGCCAGGACACTGATTGATGATTCTGGTAAGCTACAATCAATGGTATATCATCCTCAGCAACATTTTCATGTACTTAAACCCACTGTGAATTTGGAATATCTTTTTAATAGACAACNATAGACAACCTCGCAGACCTGTGCAGGATCCGTGGAGAAAAGGAGTCTGGGGACAGGGACACCTCAGACGCACCAGTGGATCAATGGGTAGGGAGCCTTCAAAGTTGTTTACACTGAGAGTTCATTAAAAGGAAAAAAGACCTAATTTATCGTCTTTCTTTCAGATTGAGTGCACAAGGTGCTCCTTTTGGTTTCATTGGGTGTGTGTGGCAAGGCCAAATATGAAAGGCATTTTTCTATGTCCAGCCTGTTCACCGCCCACCTAAACAAAACAAAATGTGGTTGACCTAACATCACTGCCCAGGTCAACACCAGCTGAACATCACATCCCTCATCACACTACACAGCAGATGATGTAGTTGCTCCAGCTGCCATCATCAAGTCCATCCTCACCTCATCCATCACCGTCTGGTACATGGCAGCTACAGCCAGGGACAAGGGTGCACTGCAGAGTTATCATCCTGAATAAAATAAACTTGACTAACCTGAACTGTGTTCTTTACTGACTTGTGAGCAGTGGAGGGACCTTAATGTTATGCAGTTTTGGTGTGCAATACTTAAACAAATTTTGAGGTATTTGCAAACAATGTATTTATAGGGGGTGCACTTTTGGTTACATTACATTGAAACATTGAAGCAACACAGTACCCAATTGTGGAAAAATGAGGTGGAATAAAACTTACTTGGCTAAATTATTTATACTTATTGAATATATTTCAAAACATGCAAGTTTAAAATCCTAATTGAGGATATATTGTATGAGTGTAAACGGGGCAAAAAATGAGTACTATGTTACGTATAGGCAACACAAAACTGCAGAGGGTTAAGTGCACATACGTTGTGGTCACAAGTTGATCTGGCTACCTCCCAATTTGAAGACACAGCTGGCTGTATGTTGTCGGATTTTTATTGTATCTGTCTATAAAGTGATGTTGTCATAGTGGCGCACCTTGTTTATTGTGCACCTGTAGTTTGTTTCTTCATAATGAAGCGGGTTCGAATCCCGTGAAAATATTCTTTTTTACATTTCACAGGGCTGAACGGTTCTTTAATATGGCACGTTTCTTTAGGTAGGCACCAGAGACGAAACTGTGTAGGCCTATTTAGAAAATTTATTCGAGATAGGAGTTAGATTCCTACAGGAAATGCAACTTGGCCTCTTCCTATTTTCAACATTCCGTCATAACAAGTGTGATTCAAACCGCGACTGAGTGTCGATCCGTGACTGGGTTCCTCCAACAAAACTCCACAGTCAACTCAGGTATGTTCTGTTTTGACACTGTAATGAAACATTGAAGACAGAGGCATTCGCGAGGACAGCTACGTGTTCTCTTCCTGGTTGAAAACAGCTGTTGTCACTACGACAACCACAGACTCATTTGGCTGAAGGTCGCCAGTTAACAGGGTCACGAGTAAATCCGAAACACCGGTAAGGTAAGACAACACGTTTACATGTCGTTTTCTATATGTTCTCTGACATTTATCCTAACGATATGAGGCGGTCTTTGTGGAAAAAAAGCTTGTATAGTGGACTGACTTTGCACTTGAAGGGATGCCCGTTCTCTTACGTTTTAACAGGTCTGACGCTACGGCTGTATCTAGGCTAATGGCTAACATGCTAACTATTATCTGTATGTCACTAGTCACTTGAACCAAATTTAGGACGATAGGAGACGGGTTGAAATAAAGTGAAATTTCCCTTTAACACAAGTTTAAGAGACATTCACATTTTGTTCTGTAACATAAAATACATCAGTAAGTACCTCCCTCATGATTTTTAAAGCATTTAGGCAGTGGTGTGAGGTAGTTACAATGGGCCACAGTGCATGCTAGCTGCTATTTATGCGCCTAAACTAGTTTCCGTATAATCTTATTATCTCATCACATGATCGAATGAAGACTTAACACTGGGTAACACCAACATACATATTACCCAGAAATCATCATGGCATATATGTATATAACAATATACAGAAAATAAGGAATTATTCATTTAACTGAATAGTTTTTTAAAAATAGCTTATTTATAGTTTATGTAGAATAAGCATATAATTTATAAAAATGTTGTTATAGATTGCTTCTGACTATTTTACAAAAGAAAAAAGAATCAAAACAAAAGAAAACCATGATGGGGATGGGTTTGATTCATTCAAAGGCATTTATAGCCTAGCAATTTGCTCTATTTTTTTAATTTAATGAGAGTGTAAACACAGGCATATTAGGTGGCCATCTGAATTACTCAGACCCAGACCCCACTCTCTCTGTGGGCCCCCTCACCTCATGGGCCCCAGTGCAACCACCCCGCTTGCTCTGTCAATATTTATGCCCCTGCCTTTAGGTGTCTGAAGACGGTTGCTAACAAGTGGCTAAATGAGACTAAAGAACGTCATCACCCCAACACTGCTTCGCAGCCTTGTGGTGGTGGAGATGTGGCGAAGTCATATGTAACTGTAGTGTAGGTTGTTTATAGCCTGACGTTAGCTTTTATTTCTGGTGATTGCATTTAAGCTTCAAAAATCATAGAAGTGTTGTTCATTTGTGAAGATTATCTTGCTGAATAAAACGTTTAAGTATCATAAATGTTTCTTTACCACAGAGCTTATTTTGTGCAATAATCCAAAATCCAATGGAAAACTTCCATAGGCTTTTTGGTGAGGGAACCAGGGCAATGCTAGCTTCCACGTTGGCCTACAGAAAAACACCATCCCTGGTGCACTCTGCAGAAGAAAAACTGCATACTAAAGAGCTGTAAGAAAGGCCTGGTTGACCAAAGTTACCATTTTATTCTACATACCTAAGTTGGCTGGGCAAAAACAATTCTCCGTAAATGTTAACATTTGAGTGAGTTTACAAGTCTGACCTCTGTCCGCCTTTGTTCTTGGCTTTGTAGCAGTAGATTCCCAGCACAGTGGCAATAACAGCGAGGACTAGGACAGCCAGGATCCCTGCCACCAGCCCTGACACGTCCACTCCGGGTGCATTCCCTTCAAAGACAAACACCATTAACATCAAACCATTGCTTCTTACACAGTTCTCACACCAAACAGTCAGCTAGTCAGTCACTAATCACTACAGCAATGACTTCAGTGATGCCTGTCTTTTTTTGGTTGACTTTTGATCATTGAGACCTACAGTATAAACTGCAACAAATTCTTCCTGTTCGATGCTCCATGCTGTACCAAATATGACACCTGCTGAACCCTGAATTCTGTACTGCTGACGCAATTTCTATTTGCAGCATAAATAAGCAGGCACACATTGCAGGTGTAATCATTTTGACTGCACCCTCACAGAGTAACTGATTACAAACTATAGCCTACTTTAAAAAAAACTTGAGATATTCCAAATAGTCAAAGATACACTTTAAAATTGTGCTGTGGCATTCAGTAGCAGAATGTCCTCTACTGACATTCGAGAGGGCATTTAAAGATTTGGTAGCCTGGTAAGACCATCCTGACGACATGAGCTCAAGATTCTGTTTTGCTCTCTGTATCAGTCTGAACTCGCTGCGACTCCAAACACTTTCCAGAAATTAAAAATCCAATCAGGGCCAAACAGGGATCTGCACTGTAGTTGGCAACATAAGTAGCCAATCAGGGACTGCATTGTAGCTGATGATGTAAAATGGAGGCCACAGCTTGCAGAACAGTAATGGCAGCTCCTGAAGCAGCAAGCACTAACTCTAACGTTAGTAGAGTAAACACAGCAATAAGTAAAGTTGTTGCAGAAATAGTCAGAACAAGAACAAGAATAAGAACAAGAACAAGAACAAGAGCATGACCTTGCAGTGTTTCTTGGAGAATTTTTTTTTTTTTGCCATTCCTACAACTGGATTTGGCAAACGCTTGATTTATCAACTGGCTCCATTGGTGATAAAAACAATGTTCCCCAGTGTTGTTATGCTGATTGGCTGAAGGAGTTTGTCTATCAAGGCGAGTAGTCTCGTCCACTAAAAATGTTTGGGGCAGCTGTATCAGTCCAGACTGATGATATGGCCATGCAGTCTCCTATTTCTTGCCAGCGAGTGGGACATTGAGAACAAAGCACATCTCTGAAGCCAAAGCATAGGCAAACTCAGTGGAAGCAGGCTCTTTGGAACGGTTGGTTCGGGTGGAGGTGTCCATCATATCCTTCAAGAAATCTGTGTGGTTGATGAAGGAAAGGCAAAATAAGACATCTATGTAATTATCATCAATAATCCGCTTGCGTAAAATGCTCTGACTGTACAAGGCTGTTGCTGCAGTGGCCCGGGTTTGACTCCAGCCTGTGGCCCTTTGTTGCATGTCATTCCCGCTCTCTCTCCCGCCTTCACTCTGAGCTTTCCTATCAATTAAAGGCAAAAATGCCCCAAAAAATATCTTTGAAAAAAAAAATGCTCTGACTAAATCCAGCTTCTGTGGTTGCAAAAAGGAAGTGGCAGTGTGTGCTGGCCATATTCCCTTGCTAAGGTTGGATGGTGTGATTGCTGGAGTTAAATGGCAACTCTCTTCCATCACCTGGAAGAGAGCTGGTGTTGGAGAAGCGGTGGGTATGGCAGGCTTACATGAGAGTGTTGAAAAGTTTTGATTTGTTGTCCATTCTGTGAAATGGAATTCCTTTATCTTTTAGATTTTTTAAAGAGTGAGTTCAGTCCAGTTGGAGATTTTTGATGAGAGCTTTGTTGTCGAGAGGCCTCCCTGAAGGGTGGTGGTGCTGCGACTGGTCGTGTGTCGTGAGGCTGGAGTAGTTGATGGCGGGAAACTTGAATTGTCATTGGAGGTGATGGAATTGGTGGAGTGCAGTGATGGTGATGGACTGGGCTTGAATTGCCTTATCCTCTCTTTTCAGATGAGCGAGGTGGGCTGGGAGATGCAGAGGATTCATCAGGTGCTTTATACTCTTAAATGTTGAGGAGGGATGAACCGGCAGGATACAGACCACAGAAGAGACTATGTTGAGACTTGGAGGACTCACTTGCTCCCTGGTCTAGTTTTGAATAGCAGAAAGCAGGGTCTCAGGCACAAAGGCGGCAGAGGTTTTCGCCTTCTATTGCTGGGTCTGCTGACATGGGCTGATGGAAACTTTGGAGGTGATCATCTTGATTTCGCATGAAAAGGTCATCGTCCAATGGGGATAGTGAGATGAATTCCATGGCCTACTCAAGAGATGTTTGAAAGAAGCTTTTTTTTCTCATCGTTTAAGGTAGTAGCTTACTTTTCTGTGTGCTCAAAGCAATTGTACATGCTCTCGGCTCTGACACAGTATGAGAGAGCAAACAAGAGAAGAGTTAGGTGGGTATTTACACCGAAGGAGGCACAGTTGAGGTGTGGTCCTGCTCCCTACTGCTCCCTTCTACTAGAAAGCATATAAAAATCAGGGAGTGTAAATTTAACCAAGTAGATGTAATAAATAAAATACAGAAATACTTAGCAATACAGAAATTCTAATAATCCCATTGTTTACTATAATAATCCCATATTTATTGTAGCACATGTATGTTTAATGTAAAAATACTTAATTCTGCTGAATGAGCTTGATGCCAAGGCCCACTACAATAATGGATAATATTCATCTGTCAAAGCATTACCTCCACTGTTGACATAGTTGTTCCAAAATAAATCCTAAAAATGGAAGCAAAGAAAATTTAATTAAGTATCGTCATTAAATAAGAAAAAAAGGAACATCAAGCAGCCACCACAGGACATTTCAGCCAGAGTTAACATGCCTTAAAAGTCCCTTTCTCGAATGCAAAACAAAACTAATTTCTAAATTATTTTTAGGTATTTTTTACATTTGAAATGGATACTACAGATTTACGGTTGTTCACTCCGAAACAGCAAATGCAACAATACAGTGATAATAACTAAACACATGCTATGAACTCCTCATAATGTATGGATCCCTTAAATAAAATCTCCTCACTGTTCACAGCTGTCACAAAATTTAACACAAATATTCAGTTGGCATCAACCTCCTAACCTCAACACTAAAGTCAGGTTTCTCCCTATTTTTGATCTCAATATCATCAGGCTTTACTGACGCTTAACATGTGCTGCCAAGGCACAAATAAAATGAAAAGACAGTTAACAAATTAGGTCATTAAATTAGTGAGCAAAATAGAAAAATATATATACAGGACATATAGACATACATATATACATGTATATCTCATATGTCTTATATATGGTTACCTATAAACACGTTTTATATGTGTTCATGTGTAAAAAACAAACAAACAAATAAGTATGGCATAGAGGAGTAAATAAAAAGCAGACTGTGAGCTGTAAGGAAATGAACTCCGGCCTTTATGTGCTGTTGATGTTGTTGTTGTTGAGCTGACACAGCCTGTATTTCTCCCTATCTGTTAAAAAGGCTGTAGGATTCTACATCCAAATGAGTGTAGGCTACAATAAAGACAGACACCCAGCAGCATTACCGTCTGGACTTTGTCCTCAAACACCTCTCTGGCCTCCTCATAGCTGCACATCTCCTCCACGCACTCCCTCTCCAGATTGTCAGTCACTACTATCTCAAAGTCCCAGCTGTTATAGAGCAGCGAGCGGGACAGGAAGGAGTTTGCTGCCTGCCCGTCCACCAACACTGGATCTCCTGCAGGACAGAGGCCAAATGTACTCATGGAGTATACACTGAAGACAACAACAGTATAATCCACGTACATCCCAATATAAAAACACTGTTAAGAACAGAACATTACATTTTAGGTTTGCTGCACCTGATACTTCACTCTACTTAACTTGGACCTGTTGTTCTTGTTCATTGACACTTTTGTTTGCCATTTAGTAGCAGCAAAAGCACAATACACTAATCTTGGCAGTCATATCTGCCAAGTCAGTATAGACAATCTCAACACACAGATGGACAAGGTACAGTACAAACCCTGATCACATTTTGTGGTTGAAACCTTTTGATCATACATGAAAATTTGACCAATTTTAGCAATAGTAATAAGCTAAGACGCTGTTAATTATGAATTACTTGTTAGAGGACGTTGGGACTTTATTATTGTATTATCGCAGCATTTCACACAGGCACATTAGGTGTGACAGACTGTTCTGTATGAAGCAAGGAAAATTCATATAGAGAAACAAACTGAAAATATCACAAGACTTTTAAACATGTTGCATTTTTTACAATTTAGCTTTGCACAGCTATAATCAGGAGTTGAAATGAACAGTTTTGAACAGTGACCCCTAACTTATAGAGTTACAAAAACATTGATCAAATGTTGCATTGTTTATATTTTTGTCTTTGCACAACAATGTCATGCATTGAAATATTCAGTTTTGCACTTTATGACACACTTGTGACTATTAAATAAACCCATCCTCCACATATGAGGACTTTTTACCCCGAAAGTACTCACTGTTCAAAGATAATGGATAGTTTTTATACTTGTCAGGTCCCTCTCATCCCAAATAGCTAGGAAAATTCAAAAATGCATACCAGACAAAAGCTGGGCTCTGAGGAGGGTACAGTACGTGTTGGCTGTATACGATTCTATGTTTTTCAATTATAAGTGGGAGTTTTCAGAAAGCTTTTCTCAGTGTTTTTAAAAGAGATAAGGGGAGCTGATTTGATTGGTCATTATTTTTCTCCTGTACACAGTACATTCTGTCCTGTAAATCAGAATGCATTTGTTGATACTTAAACTTTCTACTTAGACTTTTTTTGAAAGCCACTTGCTGACCAAAGATACTGTTAATTTTTTTTACTTACACTACATACTTGCACTCCATATAGCTAGGAGAGCTGGGGTCTCAGGAGGTCAAACGAGTGTGGTCACATGCTCTGACATGTTTTAATTTTGTACAATATGCAGAAACAAGTGAGTGTAATGTACAGAGACTAATAAATGTCTTTTGTGTCATTTTACTTCTGTATTTGAGATGTGATGAGTTCGAACTAAATGTGAACACAAACAATTGTCCATCTGTATAAGTCCTATTGTAATTGCATGACACTTTTTATTGTTTTTGGTGCTTGCTGTTTGCCTTTGTATGAACTGACCAACTTGAAGTGAGAAGAGGTGTGGTTTACCTGGAGCATGTCTGTAGATGACAGAGCAGTGGGCCAGCTGCAGCAGGAACAGCAGGGGTATCCACACCACTGACAAGGCTGCCATTGAAGCAAAAAAACTACACAGAAAATGACAAGGAAGAGCCTCTGAGGAAATGAATCCAACACTCCTGGATAGAGGCCTGAGTATGTCGAGCCTCTAACAGAAGAGCCTCTAACATCAACCTGTTCGTTAGCTCCTTACTTGGCTGCAGTTTAAAGTGTCTATAAAAGCTTTCCAGGAGAAAAATCGCACTTACTCTTCTAGATTTTAAGAAGCCTGTAGACACCAATATTCCCTCAGAGTAAACTTCTTTAAGCTGCGTTTTGTGTTGTAACCGTCAGGCCACAAACAGTTATGCTGCTTTCCAAGATAAACGTCACATCACAAACCTGTTGGACAGCATACCAGAATGAGGGAGGCGCCTCCACAAACCCGTCTGTCAGCTCACAGCCCACTGGCTTTGTTTACTTACTTTTTGATCACCAGTTGAGATGGAGAGAGTGTGTGCGTGTGCACACTCAGTTGAGAGTTTTTTAGGAAACAAATAAATCAACACCTCTCAGAAACAATATAACAATGTAACATTGCTATAGGTCCATATTTTAATAATATGGACCTATAGCAGGCCTACTATTCATTTAATGTATGAGGAAATTGAATATACAACTGGGTTTGTGGGATAAAACCTGGAAAGTACAAAAAATAGAAATAAAAAACTGAATAATATGTCAAATAGACAAAGAATATGTCATGCCATCTACCTTGTGTTGCCCATCTATCTCATGAATTAACATGTATTTGAGTGACATTAAAAAAAAAGGACGTCAAATGAAAATGTCATCACCCAACTTGAAAAGAAATATGAATGTTGATGTAAAACTCCTGATAAACCTAAAGCAGGTTTACCGACCAGGCAAAACAGCCACTTTGCTCCAGATGCCCAAACTCGGAAAAATGGAATATGATATAATAAGTATGTTTTTTCTTAGTGTATAATCACCAGAAAATAATAATTGTAAAAATTACCTTAAAATTAGCCGTTTATATCTACATAGGTCCTCGTAGTTGCACTGCCATGTTTCTACAGTGGCCCAGAACACACAAACCAAACACTGGCTCTAGACTATTTGCATTTTTACTTTTTCTCAAGGGCCACATAGTTAGAAGCCCCCTGTGACAAGGAGCATCGGAGATACACTAATTTTTTTTACCTTAACACTGTTTTATTCAGTGTTCTTAACAGTTTAATTTACCAGATCAGCTTGTTTTGGAGAGTAGAGTCCCAGTAATTTGGCTCCCAGTAAAAACCTCCTGAATGTCTGGATCTTAAGTTCTTGGAGAAAAAAGGTGAGCAGACATTAGTGGGTGCTCTGACATGCCAAACTTTGTAGAAGACACGCTGATTTGTAACATGAAACTGCATTATTCAGTGTTTTGCCTGGTTTTAATCACCTGGCCTGTTTGTTTTGGTGAGGAAGAGACCTCTGTGGATAATTGGACTCACAGTAAAACCCCCCTGAACATCTGGATCACAAATAAGGTGAGCACACATTATGTTATCACAGAAAAAAACGTGAGCACACATTAACAGGTGCTAGGCAAACAGCCTGTCTCCAACATGCCAAACTTTGTCGAGGAAACACTCATTTGTAACATGAAACTGTATTATTTGATGTTTTACCAGTTAAATTCACTGGGTCTGTTTGTTTTAGGTGAGGAAGAGACCTCTGTGGATAATTCGACTTGCAGTAAAAAAACACCCTGAACGTCTGGATCAGAAATAAGGTGCGCACACATTAAGTTATTCGAGAAAAAAAGGTGAGCAGACATTAGCAGGTATTAGGCTAATAGCCTGTCTCCAACATGCCAAAGGGTGTCAAAGAAACACTGATTTGTAACATGAAACTGTTGCATTCAGTATTTTTACAGGTTTGAATCACCTGGTCCGATTATTTTGGAGAGGAAGAATATAAACCCCCTGAACAATGAACACAATTCTAACTGGGAGAAGTTACAATCTGCAATCCTCATCGCTAGATGCCAAAAAATCTCCCTAAATCTCACACACTGTCTCTTTAATTGTCAGATAATCGATTAAATGAATTGTACAATCTGCATCATTTAAACACTTGACATAACTAACTAGGTGTTACTTCATTGCACCGTCGCACAAGGGGACTCTGCTGAACCCAGCAGTGAGCACAGCTCCAGTCGTGTTGCTTCTGAAAGGGCCGTAGGGTTATCTAATCTTACTCTCTTTCTGGTCAAAATCTAGTTTTAAATTATTTTGGTTGATATTGTGCTCATATGGTGCATTTTCTAAATAAAATAGTTTGGTAATTAAATTATCACAAACTGACTGATCCTGCTTTGATAAGAGTGGAGAGGTGATCCCTCTCTCTGTATTTGATGCTGATTGTTGGGGAGATATTCCATTTTCCTCACTATCTAAAACTGGACTGAAAGTAAAAATCTAACCATGAACTCTTGAAAGCCAGACTCAAATACTGAGGTTTTTTTTAGTTCAAATGCACGTGTTTGGGAAGTACTGAGCATATGGCTGGATAAATGAGACCTTGCTTAAACTGCATGAGTTGTATAGAGTTTGCAAACTGATATATAGGTTCGCTGTTGTTAAACTTGGTTCCCAATCAATCAATAAATCAACACACAACATGATCATTTTGTGGGTGAGGTATTCCTTTAAGCACAGACAGCTGTACAATGTGGTGTTTCACTCTGGGTTAAACATACATTGACCAGAGCAGGCCTGGAATTTCGTCATTTTAGGGACAAGGCCACTTGGCTTTTCGTGTTGTCAATTTTTTGAGGGCACAAAGGCCAAAAGCCAGGGCAGCAAGGCCATAAAATAAAACAACGATTTTAAGTCCACATCCATAATGAATTTAATTTAAGGACTAAGGATGTATAACTATAGTGAAATGAATAAATAAAATACAATAAATAAAAACAAACTACATTAGGGCTATTCAATTACTATTTCAACTGGGCTGCATTTCAAAACCAGATAATGTCAATGGGCCACATTTTTAGCAGTGAGCAACCAATCCACTTTTTTTTTTTGCATACACATATATAATTTTATATATACAGGCATGGCCCTCCTCAACATAATGCAGAAACACACACTATCTCTACCAACATCTCCCTCTCTCCTCTCCTCCACACACACACACACACACACACACACACACACACACACATGCACACACCTTATAGGTCGGTTACACAGAATATAGTTTTATACAGTCCATGGCAGCAACAGTCATGTTTACAACAACAAAGTCACTATTTAAAACCCAATAATATCTAACTGGAAAATAAATATTCCACCTGACATCACAATACTGAGTGAAGAAAGTCAAGTTATCTAAGAATGAAGACAAACATCAGTATCAGTCATTCATCCTGCTCTCTGTTCCTCCTTTACTGAGGACACTCACTGTCTGCAGGTCGGCTGCCTCAGGTACATCTTCATATAAAGTGTTAGCCTACATACAGACAGCTTTCATTTTAGTTTGTCTTTAACACTTTGCTGGTAGCCTCGCTACTCGCGAGCGCGAATGAGAGACTGTGGACAGAGCAGATTGAAATATGGCTTTCTACATGCTGATCACATGTATTGATAAAGTATTGGCTTGGCTGGCAGAGGTTTTATCGCACTTAATTACAGTAACAAGCGTAGGCCTAGTTGTCGTTAACTAGAGTAATCTTGAATTTATATTCCCTTCATCTGCACCGCGGCCCTGACGCTGCAGAATGATGATAGGCTACATGAAACCGAAACTTTATAAAGTAACGCCGATAATGGCGGAGTTTACTATTATTACGGTGTTGATTAAATTTACATTGGGTTGTTTAACCTCTAGTTTCGCAGACCGGGTGAGGCGGAGGCGCAGCGCACCTGCACTTCGCCAACTGGGTGTGGCCAGGCGGATTTTGCAAGTTTGGCACGCCGTGCGCGCTGGCGCAGCTACTCCTCTTTCCCACCTCCATCCCTCCTACCTGCGCAAGTGGGAAAGAGGGAGGAGAGAAGGCGTGGAGTGGGTTTTACACAGCCGATTCACATCACACCAATCAAATGAGCCCCTCTCCTCACCCTTGTGGGTATTTATTACATCGTTAATGTGCCTGACATTCTGGAGATCTGCCTGTGAGGTTTTGATGACGTGTGCGCACTGTCGGCTGGTCAGCCAAACTTCCACTTACACCGGCTGCGCTCCGCCTGCGCTGACAGTAGATCTGGTTACAGCTGGCAAGCTTTTAGCGCACCTTCGGCGAAGCCTTTTGGCATGAAACTGTCACTGCGCCAAGCTGGATCTGTCGACACCTCACCCTGCTGCGCTGCCACACCCATCTCAGCGCACCTCGGTCTGCCAAACTACCAAACTGAGTGCGCCTCGCGTTGCGCTGCTCAAAACTAGCTCTGCGCCCGGGTTTCGGTACCGATCCCTGCCCGGGCGTATTATGAAGTCTCCTGGTTGGCCGGTGATAGTTTGGTGTCAAACTGTCATTATAGCCCATCTGAGCGGTTCATGCCAGGCTCGAATCAAACCCACCACTGGTGATGTACGGATCGTCTCATTTAATGTTGCTCAATAAGACTCCAGAATGTCATCGCATTTTTTTTTTTCTCAAAAGACGCAGGTGTCAAAGCCGTGTTGACAGGAAAGAGGCAGAGGAGAAAACCGCAAAATCACCTGGGGCAGTGCGGGCGGGGCATCAAGGCAACTGTGGTCTTAGGGCAGATATAGGCCTCTAGTTTCGCAGCGCACCTGCGCTTCACCAACTGGGTGTGGCCAGGCGGATTTTGCAAGTTTGGCACACCGTGCGCGCTGGCGTAGCTACTCCTCTTTCCCACCTCCGACCCTCCTACCTGCGCAAGTCGGAAAGCGGGAGGAGAGAAGGCGTGGAGTGGGTTTTACACACATCACACCAATCAAATGAGCCCCTCTCCTCGCCCTTAAATGCGCCGTGCGAAGGCATAATGACAGTTTACTCAATTCACCATGGCAGAAGAGAGCAGCAGCGTCAGATGGCCAAACTTCTCCCTGA